TCAGGGCAGGACAGGGGAGAGATTCTGTCAGAGTTGGTAAGTTGCAGAGTGGAAAGGAGCAGGGTTCAAGTTTTGAAGGTTTCTGCGGGTAAATGTTTGCTGCTTGGAGGGATAGGTGTTTGAAGACAAGGAGACTGTAAAGGTGATGAGATTGTGATCAGAGACAGGAAAGGGGGTGTTTGTGAGGTTGTAGGGAGTGCAAAGACGGGAGAAAACATGGTCTAATGTATTGCCATCAGAGTGAGTGGAGGACTGTATACATTGTGCTAATGCAAAAGATGGTTATGTTGAAGAGTTGGATGTAGCCAGGTTGTTGGCATTAACAGGGATGATAAAAAATCTCCGAGAATGATAGTGGGTAGTTCAGAGTAGAGAAAGTAGGGTAGCCAGGCGGAGAAATCATCATCAAGAAAGCAGAACACAGGTCCAGGAGGCCGACAGATCACCGCAATCCTCAGAGAAATGGGATGAGGAGTGATGAGGCACAGTTCCTCGCAATGTTACCAACAATGGGGCTCAATTAAACCAATGATGGGGCTCAGTTACTCCCAATGTCACCAACAATAGGGCTCAATGAAACCAATGATGGGGCACAGTTACTCCCAATGTCACCAACAATAGGGCTCAATGAAACCAATGATGGGGCACAATTCTTCCCAATTACACCAGTAATGAGGCACAATTCCTCCCAATTACATCAAAGATGGGGCACAATTCCTCCCAATCACACTAATGATGGGACACAGTTCCTACCAATGACACCAATGATGAGGCACTATTCCTATTAGTGACACCAGCAATGGGGCCAATTACACCAATGATGGGGCACAATTCCTCCCAATGACACCAAAGAAGGGGCATTGTTTACGCCAACTGATGCCCACAGTGCGGCCCTCTAAAGTCTTAAGGACAGTCAACTGGCCCTTTGTTAAAAAGTTTGGAGACCCCTGCTTTAGACTGTCAAGCCTTTAAAAGTGTAAGTTCACGTTTTCAGAATACAAGAATAGGTGAACTAACACCCAACACCCTTCTCCACCACCCCCAGAGTACCCGCTGCACATACCTCTGTGGGTGATGCACTGTCAGTGCCCACACAACTGATGTAGGGGTTAGCAGAAAGTAAGTTTCCTTTTTAGCAGACATTGCAGAGAATGCCTTGGGTGTCGAGGTGTGATTTCCTACAGGGAGCATTTACAAATGAAAATAACTACTCCTGCCACGGAGCTTTCATACTTGATGAAATTTGATGAAAAAACGTAACAGATCTTAACATTACTGAAGTGTAATACACATTAAAGGCCGCTTCTGATTTAACAGGTGTAGTCTGAACAATGTTCTACACTGTAATACTTTGTATATGGGAAAAATTATTAAAAATGGTCGCATACTTTTGTGCCTAATCCATGTATTCCATTGCATACCTCCGTATGCTATTCTGTGCATCCTCAAAAGTTTCAGTGACCGAAAAAAAAAAAACTGTTGCACACAGAATCCTGCGCAGATGTGCATAGTAACCAATCAGCTTCTAACTTCACCTTGTTCAAGCTTTGACAATAAGCCCTGGTTCACACTGATGCGGTGCGGAATTCGCAGCATTTTCTGTACGAATTCCACATCAGAATTGCCCCACGTTCCTGCGGTCCGCAAAACGTGGTGCGATGTGTAGAATCAGATCGCATAGGTGTGAATACCCATGTGATCCAATTCTAGTGTGGACCAAAAAAATGGTCCTGCACCTTTTTGGTGCGGGTACGGTGCAATTAGAGCCATACAAAATGTATGGCTCCAATCGCACCGCACACAAATCGCATGTGATGTGATTCCTGTGCGAATCACATGTGATTTGCACCGCATATATGTGAACCCAGGCAAAAACTTAGAAGCTGATTAGTTACTATGCACAGCTGCACCAGTTTTAGTAAATCTCCCCCATTGTGTCTCATACTCAAAAACTGTCTCAGACACACACCCACACAATTTTGCAGCCACTGAAACACCGGCATTTTTTCCCCAACCACTGACGCTTCTTCCTCCCACTAGATCTGGGCATATTTTGTCTGAACACTGACACATAGGTCATTTTCCTCCCACTTACAGTACATCAGGCTTTTTTTCATCCCAGTTATATTGGGCCATGCTCCCTCATGCTAACACAGAAAAAATGGCAGTTGACTAGTGCAAAACCGCCTAGAAAGTGGTTAATTGAAATCCTATGTGGAGTAATATCACTACAAAAGTGGATCCCTCATGCTAAGCCTTTTTTTCTTTTTTTTTTATTCCTACCAAATTCTGGCCATTCTTCTTCACAAAGTCACCGATGCCCAGGCATTTGATCACTGTTCTTTAACACCACAGCATTTTCATCTTCTGAGACTGAAGCATTTTTTTTTTTCTTTCATATGGACATGGTTATACAACTCTAATCTAGAATTCTAACCACGACACTCCACCATGCCCCTTTAGGCTAGGTTCACATCTGACTGGTTCTGCATGCAGCATTTGCACAGGCCCAACAGCGGGCAAAAGGTCCTTTTTTAAAATGTGGCCGCAAGGATACTGCATGGTGCTTTTTTCGTGAGCATCGGAGTGCTATTAGAAGTTACTGGAAGCCCCAGGTGCCTTCTTGTTTGGCTGCATGCGGGTGTAGGAACATATGTGATTTACATGCGCTCCCACACCCACACAAATGAGAACCTAGCCTTAATCACTTCACCTCTCACACCTAAGGACCAGGGTAATTTTCAAATTTCTTCTATGGACCAGTTTATTTGCCAAGAAACTTTGTCATTGCTAAAGAGTAAACTAATACATATATTGTTTGTAATTTTTTTCTTTTTAAACCACTTAAAGGATAAGTTGACCTTTGGAACATGTTACATGTCCCACCCATTGTTTAGGGTGGAACATGTAACATGTTCCCATAGCCACCCCCCCCCCTTCCCCCGACAGATAGTACGGGGAGAAGTTTCCCGTACTAATCTTTTAGATTTGAAAACAGCACAGCCATTCTGTGAATAAGTGCCTACAAGTCCTGGAAGCCTTAGCAGCTGTGGGCTTGTAGTTTTTAATGAACTACCACAGAGCTGTAGAGTACCGTGGTAGTTCATTGAAGCTTCCTGTCAGAATATCTGCTTGGCCGTACATCCCATATGGCTAGCAGATATTCTGACAGATCTGCAGAAGACCTGCATGACATCAGCAATCTGCTGATCGCTGGTACAATGCTTTACATGCTCCTCTGGACAAATGCACCTGCAAAAAAAAAAATGTGCATTTATTATTTTTGTCCAAAAGTTGAACTTATCCTTTAAGTTCCAGGCCATTATTGGCACTTTTGGCAACAATCAGTATTTTTTGCTAGAAAATTAGTTTCACCTCTGCTTTAAAAAAAATATATAATGTATGGAAGGTCTAAGAGAATAAGTTGGTGGGTTTTGCATTTTTTTTTATGTCATGGCATTTGAGCAGCAGTTTGCAAATGCAATTTTTTGAGGAAAAAAAATTAACTTTTTTTGTATTTCAATGCAAAAAAAAAAACAACTTTTTTTTATGTAGAATATAAAAAAATGTTACACCAAGTAGAGGTCATGCTTTAATATTGCGCACACCGTGCAAAAGTGACAAGCAACATCAATTTTACTATCCAGAGGTGACGCTTTAAAAGCCTTTACAGGTTACCACTTTAGATTTACAGAGGAGGTCTGGTGCTAGAATTATTGCCCAGTATCAGACGTTCGCAACGATACCTCACAATTGCTGTCTGCACACATCCGACGCATTCGTTCTCCTTTGCGCACATGCAAGGAGGGATGGTGGCACTTTTTATTTTATTAATTTTTTAATATAATAATTTTTACACTGTTGCTTTACATTTTTTATCACTCGTTGTCAAATGGAATGTAAACATCCCTTGTGACAATAGGCACATAACAGGTACTCTTCAATGGAGAGATCTGGGTCTACAAGACCTCCCACTGCTTTTAATAGCAATTGAGCAGCTAGTTAGCAGATTCGATTGCTATTACAAGAGAGCAGACAGCCGGCTCGAAAAAAGCGGTACCAGGGTGATGCCTGCAGCTGCAGAAATCATCCCTTACAACCACTTGAAGTCAAGCAACGTACCCGTACGTCGATTGGCGGCAAGTGGTTAAGGCCAAAAGGCTTTCTTTTGAGATATTGTCATACAACAATGATTTTTTTTTTTATAATCCTGATAATAAAGTGCAACAAAACTAAACAAAACATAATTTAATTTATTTAATTTTTTTTAGAACCGTTAACTTAAAAATAAAATCTTGTTACAGCACATAAAATGTGCACATTTTATTGACTCTGGTACAAAGCATTACAAATTAAATAAAGTGTTTGGTTTTTTTTTTTTTTTCAGTTGTGTGCTTCTTTTAAATGGTAACTATGTAAATAGAGGTTAAATGTGTAAAATTACAGTATTAACAAAACCATAATAGTTTTAATAGTAAAATAGAAACAAACTATGTTAGTTGAAGAGAGAAGGCGAATAAGGAGCTAATGAGAGTTGATTAGAGTAAACGAATGGATAATAAGGGGTTAAAACAGATATACTATTTTTATTTATTTTTTTTTTAACTTGTCAGGTTGCTTTAACTGATATAATTTGCACATAAGCTCCTACTTTGTAACCTTCTGTTCATTCAACAATACGTTACTTTGTATCTTTGCATAAAACCACGATTCATACTGCTTTTTTTGACAACTACAGCTGCCGACTTCTATCCTAAGAACACAGTAAAGCTCTAAGTCACAGGCCATGGTTTTCAATTACACCCATTTGGATCTATGCAACTTAAAGTGTTACTAAACCCAAGACTCTGCATTCACTCTGTCTGGTCTCTCACAGTACACAGAACATGGAAGTGCAATTATTTCAGTAAATATAAATTGCTAAATACTTTTTCTCATCAGCAGATAGAGCAGTCTTAAGACTTCGATCAGTGTTCAGCAGAGCACTGGTTAAACCTTGTAGGAGTTTTCTTTCTGGTCTAGGAGGATACAGAACCCTTGACCTCTGTCTGGACAGTGCTGATTGGCCCTGTGCTGATCACATGCACCCTCCCGAGCAAAAAAAAAAATGAAAAAAACCTCTCTAGCAATACACACCAAACTGAGCATGTGCATAGGGTCTCCACACGATAGGTCTCAATAGGAGATAAAATGGGGGCACTGGAAGAAGGGGAGGATCAGAGAAGTCAGGATCAAACAGCATTTTTACACAATGCAGAGGATTACCCCTTAGGTTTCACAGTGAGTATATCAAGCATGCTTTACTGCATATACAGACTGATTTTACTGTTGTGGATTTAGTAACACTTTAACCCCTTCCCACCCAGCGTATAGAAGATTGACGGCAGGGCGGGATGCTCCTCCTCTCAGAAGGTGCCACTCATGCGGACACAGGACAGCACAGCGGCACGATATGTCACCAACTGTGTCCACTGGACACAGCCGAAGACTGATCACTACACTGACCCATTGCCAGTGTCATCTGATCTGCTGTGATTGGTCACAATTTTGTACAATGGATGGCTTCCTTTCATGCCATCCATTGTATACAGTTGTGGTGTTAGTTGTGATTGGTCACATGGTACAGACAGAGCCAATCACAGCCCATCTGTACCATGTGATGAGCTGTGGCCAATCACAGATAATCACAAAATACTGGGGGGGGGGGGGGGAATACACTGAATGAATCTGAGCTGAGCTCCTGCAGCTCCTCCACGGTTACCATGTGCCTCTTGGCTGCTTAATGTTTGCCTTGCCTGTCCTGTCAATTTAGGTGAACGCCAATGTCTTGGTAGGTTTGCAGCTGTGTCATACTCTTTCCATTTTTGGAGAATGGATTGAACAGTGCACCATGAGATGTTCAAAGCTTGGGATATTTTTTTGATAACCTAACCTTGCTTTAAACTTATCCACAACTTTTATACCTGACCTGTCTGGTGTGTTCCTTGGCCTTCATGATGCTGTTTGTTCCCTAATGTTCTCTAACAAACCTCTGGGGCTTCACAGAACAGCTGTAATTATACTGAGATTAAATTACACACAGGTAGACTCTATTTACGAATTAGGTGACTTCTGAAGGCAATTGGTTCCTCTAGATTTTAGTTGGGGGTATCCGAGTAAAGGGGGCTGCACAAATGCACACCACACTTTTCAGATATTTGTAAAACATTTTGAAAACCATTTATCATTTCCTTTCCATTTCACAATTATGTGCCATTTTGTGTTGGCCGATCACATAAAATCCCAACAAATCCCTGGAAATGGTGCGACTTTGCAAGTCGCACAAGTCTGAGCAGAACCTTATGCGGCTTTTATTAATCACAGCCAACAATTGCTATACACAGGGAGGGGGATCCCAGAAGCAGGGCAGAGACTGGACGTCCTAAAACATGTCCTGTGTACTGTACTATGTAATGATGACTTTTTTTGGCCATGTGTAACACGCCCAAAGTCAGCAATTAGGCAAACCACATCCAATATTCAGTACTTTGTAGCCAAGCACGCTTCCTCACCACCCCCCATGGAGTGCTACATAAACTAGCCCATTCCAGTCTTGCTTTTTGAAATTCTAGTGATCGAAGGAAACCACACTTAAGCTCTGTACATAGTGTTTTATATGCTGAACTTTATGTACATAGTGAACAATGCTCCATTCTGTACAGTGTACAATTAGAACACCTGTCAGTTTTATGGTTGTCTGTGCCCAATTAAAGAGATTCTCAATTTGTCCTGTTTACCAATATTAGTGAAAGTAAAAGAAGAAAAAAATTAAAAAAAAACATTTTGGGTTGTCCCCAGAAAAGTAATAGAGGGGGAATCTTCCATTGGGGACACTAGTTCTAGTGACCTGGGGGGCCCCAAGGAATTCCCTTAATTTGCAGGGATTCCTCTCACTTCCGGTTTGGCTATGGAACAGGAAGAGAAGGTAAATATTCGTAATGGGACACAGATCGTGGGGGAAAAAAAAAAATCCAAGATGGGGTATAACCCTCCCTCACGATATGCAAAATTAAAAAATAAATATTTTGCCTATAGTTCTACTTTAAAGCTGAAGTTTAGGTATTTTTATATAGTCACAGTGATCAAGCTTTGAAAAATATAGGTATGTATATGCCATACCTGTGGGATCTCCATGGAATCTAGAAATCACTGGAGTAAGCACTGCTATCACAGTGAGTTCCATTAGAGTTTGGGTTGAGTGCTGAGTGGCTACCCCTCAAGTCTCACCTGCTCTCCATTGAAGCCAATGGAGCACAGATTGCATACTGAAACTTTGAGGATAGCTTTCATTAGAAAGCTGACAGTCTGCTTCTGGAGTGTACACACTTCTCAGCTGCCAGGAGTGTGGCAGTACAAGGGTTTAGGTCCGGCTCACACTGCCATGACTTGGTATCCAATTTATGAGACCCCAAGTTCCATGACATGTGAAATCCCATGTTAGTCAATGAGAGCAGTCTTAATTAGCACTACTGAAGTTGCCCGACTTTAGAAATTATTCCGGTACTACTTCACGGCGACTTCTATTAAACTTGTGCCCATAGACTTTAATTGAATTTACCTCCAAGTCAGATCCTCATCTATATTGATATGATTTGGAGCCAAAAAAAGTTGCATAGCATAAAAGTTGCACATCAAAGTCGTACACAAGTCGCATTAAATTGCCAGAAAATCACCTGGCAAAGTGGCATCGTAAGATGCACAACTTTCAGGTCGCAGTAGTGTGAACCAAGCTTAAAAGAGAGCTAAAGCAATATATTATCATTACATTAACTATTAATAAAGAACATTAATCATGAACTCAAAACACTGTCCTCATATGTGTGCATATACAGTGGATATAAAATGTTTACACACACACACCTGTCAAAATGTCAGGTTTCTGTGATGTAAAAAAACGAGACAAAGATAAATCAGTTCAGAACTTTTTCCACCTTTAATGTAACCTATAACCTCTACAACTGAAATCTTTTAGGTGGAGGGAAGTAAAAATAAAAAACTAAAATAATATGGTTGCATCAGTGTGCACACTTAACCACTTGCCCTCTAGAGGATTTACCCCCCTTAATGACCAGGCCTCATTTGCTACTCGGTGCTGCACTAATTCAACTGATAATTGCGCGGTCATGCAATGCTGCACCCAAACAAAATTTACGTCCTTTTTTTAACACACAAAGAGAGCTTTCTTTTGGTGGTATTTGATCACCTGTGCGCTTTTTATTTTTCAAGCTATAAACAAAAAAAACCCGAAAATTTTGAAGAAAAAAAATATTTTTTACTTTCGGCTATAAAAAAACATATAGTAAACTCAAAGTTAGTTATAAATTTAGACCAAAATGTATTCTGCTACATGTTTTTGGTAAACAAAATCCCAATAAGTGTATATTGATTGCTTTGTGTGAAAGTTATAGCGTCTACAAACTATGGTATAGATACTGCAATTTACGCCTTTTTTTGCTATACAGCATTGCACTAGTTTAGCTGACAATTTCGCAGTCATGCAATATGGTACATAAAAAAAATGTATGTCCTTTTTTCACACAAATAGAGCTTTCTTTTGGTGGTATTTGATCACCTGTGCGCTTTTTATTTTTGACACTAAACAAAAAATTTTTGAGAAAACTTTTTTTTTTTTTTTTTTTTTTTTAAAACAATATTTTCTCATTTCTGTCATAAAAAATATCCAAAAAAACTAAAATGTCATCATAAATTTAGGCCAAAATGTATTCTGCTACATGTTTTTGGTTAAAAAGAAAATCCCAATAAGTGTATATTTATTGCTTTGTGTGAAAGTTATATTGTCTACAAACTATGGTATAGATAATGGAATTTACACAGCTTCTCCTTTCTGACTGCTCATCACATTTCTTGAGGTGCTAAATTACCAGGATAGTACAAACAAACACCCCCAAATGACCCCTTTTCGGAAAGTAGACAACCTAAGCTATCTGCTGAGAGAGGCATATTGAGTCCATGGAAGATTTAATTTTTTTTCCACAGGTTTCTGGAAAATTACAAAAATGTTATTTTTGTTTTTACACAAAGATATCTAAATTACACATTTCTCGCAGAAGCCATGGGCATATGTTGACTTACACCCTAAAATACATTCTGCTACTTCTACCGAGTATGGGGATACCACAGGTGTGAGACTTTTTGGGAGCCTAGCCACATACAGGAGACGGAAATCCAATGACCACTTTGAAATCCTGAAGGTGCATAACTTCCTCATTTCACTTCCTCACTACCTATCACAGTTTCGAAGGCCCTGAAATGCCAGGATAGCACCAAATCCCCCCCAAATGACCCCTTTTTGGAAAGTAGACACCCCAAGGAATTTAAAAAGAGGCATAGTGAGTATTTTGCAGATCTCATTTATCACAAGCTTCTGAAATATAAAAAAAAAAGAAAGAAAAAATATTTTTGTTTTTTTTCTTCATTTTCCAAAAACTTGTGGCAACAAACAAGATCTGAAAAAAATACTCACCATGCTTCTTATCAAATTCCTTGGGGTGTCTACTTTCCAAAAATGGTTATTTGCGGGGGGGGGGGGGGTTGGTGCTATCCTGGCATTTCAGGGCCTCCAAAACTGTGATAGGTAGTCAGGAAGTGTAATGAGGAAATAAAGCCCTTTAAAAGCCTGAAGGTGCTTATTGGATTTTGGGGTCCTGTACTTGGCTAGACTGCCAAAACGCATCTCACATGTGGTACCCCCATACTCGGGAGAAGTAGCAGAATGTATTTTGGGGAGTAATTCCACATATGCCAATGACAAGTGTGAGCAATAAATAATTTAAATGACATCTTTCTGTAAAAAAAAAAAAAAAAAAAAACTTTTGTTTGTCATTTTCCAAAAACTTGTGGTAAAAAAATAAAAAATTCTTCTATTGATTCAACATGCCTCTCAGCAAATAGTTTGGGGCATCTACTTTCCCAAAAGGGGTCGTTTTTTGGGGGATGGGGGCATTTTTATGCCCAGCATTAGAAGTTTATGCCACACATCATTCACTCTTCTAACCACCTTAAGACCAAGCCATTTCTGACACTTTGTTCACATGAATAAAAATCTGTATTTTTTGCTAGGAAATGAATTTAAACCCCAAACATTATATATTGTTTTAAAGCAAACACCCTAGTGAATAAAATGGTGGGAACTGCAATTCTTTCTGTCACATAGTACTCGCGCAGCGATTTTTCAACGCATTTTTTTAAAAATACACTTTTTTTTACTTTTAATGCACAAAAACACAATATATTGGCCAATTATTTGGTAAAGTATAAAAGATGATGGTATGCCGAGTAAATAGATACC